AATTCTTTTGTTTTCATGATCATTGGTTTTGCTTTAATGAGAGGTTTGCATTTATATAACCCTCCGGGTTTATTGGGTGTTTAGCTCAAGAGCTTGATATAATTGTTGCCTCTCTTAAAAATTGTGTTTTGATTTGTTGCTTTTGAATTCATTATAATTCACTTATATGATGATATTTATGTGTTTGTGCTAATGGATCATCTATTCGTGCTTTATAATGTATTCTATGAGTGGTTTGATCAAGTCTTACAAAAGATTTTTTTTTTTGATCAAACATCATTTTTGGTTTAAATAGTTGATTTATGAATTCATTTGGTTGATTTATTTTCATTCGAAAACTCTTTTTGCATGATTCTCATGTTTTCTCTCTTTTGATTTCATAAATCTATTTTTTATACATGGTTTTAGGCTTGTATTTTTGAGACACTTCTTTTTCATATTGACATTTTATATGTGTTCTCACTGTCTTTTTGTATGTGAGTGGTGTTTAGCATATTTCTCATTTATGCTTGCTCACATATGTTTGCCATGATATTCATTGCATATATTCCATATGGCATTTTGATAGGGGGAGCAATCCCTATATCCTTTTATGTTTTATACTCACCTATGCTTATTGATAGGGGGAGCTTTCGCTCTCTTATTCTTTTGTCCCCTTTTTGATGTTGTCAAAGGGGGAGAAATATTGTGAGTATATCTATCTTGTTTGTTTATATGCATGATATATTATACATTGTATGTTCATTTCCTTTCATGCATATATCCTTTTTGTAAATTGTTTATCATCATCAAAAAGGGGGAGATTGTTGGCCTTCTTGTTTTGATGATGTTTAACAAACAATTTACCATTAATATTATTTGTCTAGTATTTGTGTTTTCGTATTTATTGTAGACAAACAACGTTGTTGGAGGATGGATGGAATAGAGCTTCAACGATGATATCCAATGGAGGTTGGCGGAATGTCAGGTTGAAGCCTATGCAATTCAAATTGAAGATCCAAGTTCTAGCTTCATCCGCAAGTTTATTCATCCGAGAGATTACCTAGAAGAGCTTATTGAAGATCAAGATCTAGCTTGGATAATTTAGTTTAGGGTTTATATTATGTGTGTTTAATACGTTAAGCTCAATATCTATACACACACATTTTATTGGTTTCTTCGTATATATATAGTTATATATATATATATATATATATAAGTTTTGGTTTCTATGCATATATATATAGTTATATATACATACATACATGTGTTTTGAGTTTTTATGATTATATATATGAAATTATATATTTCATATTTTCTATTGTGTTTTTGAAAACATTACATAGAATATGCTATTTTGTGAAAATATTGTTTTATTAGTTTATAGACTTCAATATCAGTTTATACATGTTTTACTAAGTCTATAAAAACATTTTACAAAGTTTCAAAAGTTGGTTTATGTCAAAACATCAAAATTCAAGTATATCATATTTTCATGTTTTGGACTATTTTGTAAAATGATGATATTTTTCATTTGGGAAGTCCTTTTTCGAAACCAGTCATTGTAGCATGTTTATTATCATGTCTAAAATCATTCCCCAAAGTTTTACATTTTTTGGAATTTATTTGATATTTTTAAACAGCGTTTTAAAATCAGATAAACAGTTTTCAGAACCTGGAATATCAGTTTCCGGTCGACCGTACCGGTCGACCGATCATTTGTTCATTTCTTACCATGCGACAGAGAGTCTGTCGGTCGACCGGTCCGGTCGACCGAAAGAGCTGCGCACTGCTACAGTAATCCGGTCGACCGTACCGGTCGACCGAAGTACTGTAGCATCCGACCGTTGCTACAGTAACAGCTAGTTCTGTTTTTTGTTTATTTTAATGTTTTGGGGGTGTTTTTATTGGTTTTTGGGGTTGTTTCATGAGCCTATATATACCCCATGCCCTCATACCTCTAAGGTAACTCAAGAAATGTTTTAAACAAGTTTAAAGAGTTTTAAACAAGGGTTTAAGTGAGTTTTAGTGTTTGTTTGGTTTGAAGATTATTTTCACAAGTGGAGGAGATCATCTTCTTGTTTGGGCTTCATATCTCCATCTCTCCATCTTGATCTAGAGAAGTTTTCCTAAACTCAAGTCTAGCTTTTATTTATAATTATTTGTTGATTATCATTTCTATTAAAGCTAGTTTTATATTGAGTTTAGTTTGATTTGATTTACTCTTTGTTTGCACACACAACCATTGAGCTTATTGTATTTGCATACATTATATAATTGGGTTGTGGGATAGTGTGACATTGAGTTGAGCCTAATTGAGTTCTCACCTTGTTAGAGAGAACAATCATTTGCTATATTGTGCTTAATTGTTAAATCACTTTGTAATACTCTTGTACACCGAGTGAGGAGTGTGTGGTGAGAGTCGGGGATCGTCCCAAGAGGAGTGGCGTCGGTTGACGTGCCTAGGGAGAGGTTGTAACCGAGCACTTGAGGGAGACACGGCTAGGTCCAACACTTAGTGGGTGTAGAGTGTGATTGCAAGAGTGTGAGTTGTAGAGTTTTCGGTTAGCTAGAAAACCGAGTGTGTAGAAGAAGTTCCGGCTTCCAAACCGGATTGTGTTAGTGGATTTCTCCCCGGGAGTGGGGAGCGGAGACGTAGGACGGAAGGTCCGAACTCCGTGATCATATTGCTTGTTTGAGTTTGTCTTTGGTGTATTTATTTTTGCATTCATCTTATATCGCCAATTGTGCATTGCTCATTCATTTCATCCACTATCCTATTTAGATTGTTTACCCCTTGTGTTAGTTTATATATCCTTGCATATATATATATATATATATATATATATATAATTCATCATATAGGATATATCTCATTGTTTACATTGCTTATCCTAGCTCACATATCTTGTGTTATTTCATACTTGCTAGGATAACTTGTTAATTATTTTTAATTGGCATTTAAATCGGATTAGATTAGCATAAGACCCTAATCAACCCTCCCTCTAGGGTTTAACACTATACTTTGTCATAAGGTGCTATATTTTATCAACAAGCTGCTATACTTTCCCATAAAATGCTATACTTTACCAAAAGCTGGAAAATTAAGCGAGGACCCCTCTTTGAGGTGGATAATTGGTCACGCGACACATAACGTAGGTCATCGAGTGTTTGTATGGCCCTAAAAACTGATTTGGTTTATCGCAACGTAATAAGTTCCTGAATTTTTAGAGACCATAATGTGCTATACTTTATTGATAAGGTGCTATACTATTGCTATAAGGTGCTATATTTTGCCATAAGGTGCTATACTTTATCAATAAGCCGCTATACTTTCTCATAAAGTGCTATACTTTATCAAAAGCTAGAAAATTAAGCGAGGACCCATCGTCGAGGTGGATAATTGGTCACGCAACACATAATAGGTCATCGAGTGTTTACAATGCTCCGAAAAAAACTAATTTGGTTTATCGCAACGTAATAAGTTGTTGAATTTCCAGAGACCATAAGGTGCTATACTTTATGGATAATGTGCTATACTATTGCCATAAGGTGCTATACTTTGTCATAAGGTACTATACTTTATCAATAAGCTGCTATGCTTTCCCATAAAGTGCTATACTTTTCCAAAAGCTGGAAAATTAAGCGAGGACCTCTCGTCAAGGTGGATAATTGGTCACGCGACACATAACCTAGGTCATCGAGTGTTTACATGACCCTAAAAAAAGCTGGTTTGGTTTATCACAACGCAATAAGTTGTTGAATTTCTAGAGATCATAAGGTGCTATACTTTATCGATAAGGTGCTATACTATTACCATAAGGTGGTATACTTTGCCATAATGTGCTATACTTTATCAATAAGCTGCTATACTTTCCCATAAAGTGCTATACTTTGCCAAAATCTGAAAAATTGAACGAGGACCCCTCGTCGAGGTGGATAATTGGTCACGCGACACATAATTTAGGTCATCGCTTGTTTGCATGGCTCTAAAAAAACCGATTTGGTTTATCGCAACGCAATAAGTTGCTAAATTTCCAGAGATCATAAGGTGCTATACTTTATCGATAAGGTACTATACTATTTCCATAAGGTGGTATACTTTGCCATAAGGTGCTATACTTTATCAATAAGCTGCTATACTTTCTCATAAAGTGCTATACTTTACCAAAAGCTGAAAAATTAAGCGACGACCCCTCGTCGAGGTGAATAATTGGTCACGCGACACATAACTTAGGTCATCGCTTGTTTGCATAGCCCTAAAAAAACTGATTTGGTTTCTCGTAACGCAATAAGTTGCTAAATTTTCAGAGACCATAATGTGCTATACTTTATCGATAAGGTGCTATACTATTTCCATAAGGTGTTATACTTTGCCATAAGGTGCTATAATTTATCACACTGCTAGAAAATGAACTATTACCGACGATACTTTAGCGACGAAAAATTCCGTCGCTATAAGTCATGTTATAGCGACAGAATTTTCCGTTGCTATTTTTCCGTCGGCAAAAAAGTTTTGCAGACGAAAATTCCACTATTGGCGATGGAAAATTTTCGTCGCCATTAATTTTTTGTCAGAAAATTCCGTCGCTAAAACCTCTTTTAGCGACGGAATTTCCATCGCTAAAAGTTGTTTTAACGACGGAAATTCCATCGCTAAAACCCAACAATTAGAAAAAAAATTAGGCGCGGGCGTGCCCAAAAAATTTAGGCAGCCCGCGCCCGAGAGAGGGATTTTCCCCCAAACCCCTCTCTCATTTCCCCCTCTCTCCTCATTTCCCCTCCCCCTACCCCCCCCCCC